AAATAGTTTCTGCTGGGTATTGAGGGGGTGGGGGGGAGAGGGAGGGGGCGGAGTGGGTGGTAAAGGAGGGGGTGGGGGCAGGGGGGAGAAATGACCTAAGCCTTGTATGCACATATGAATAATAATAATAAAAAAAAAGAAATCCTACATGAACAGACAGAATGTTCTAAGACTGTTCCTCCTAAGCCTTATGTGAGTGTAGAGGCTAAAAACCTTGTTTTTGACTTTGAGATAACACATTTCATATGGTTAGAAGTGTGGGACATTGGTATATAGTGCTGTGCCATAGGGTGGATTCTAGAGAACCCTTCCAAGGGAGGAAGAACCTGGTTAAGGGATTTCTTTTGCTCCAGAAAAGGCTTGCTGTCCTTTTCCCAGCCTCCCTATAATAATCTGTGGCCTCTCTTCTGCATGTGGAGAATTAGTGTATAGCCAGCTAAATCAGAGACATTTCAATTATGCAGGAGCCCAGTGGATCCATACTCTGTGGGGCCATTTCAGTATTTATTTGTAATCCTAGAGAGTACTCTCTTTTCCTCTTGTACTATAAATTCTTGCTCTGATAAAACTGGATTCTGAAAAATTAGAATGGAGCAAAATCACTTTTTTTTTCTCAGTATTGGGGCTTGAACTCAGAGCCTTGTGCTTTCTAGGCAGGCACTCTACTACTTGAGCCATGCCTCCAGCTCTCTCTCACTTTTGATTACTCTAAATTGAGAGAATTAACTGAGTGTATTAGCATACATTTGTAATCCCAACACTCAGGAGGCTAAGGCAGGGGGACCTTGAGTTCAAGGTCAGCCTGGGTTACATAGTGAGATCTTGTCTCAAAAAAAGAAAAAAAAAATCAAGAGAATGGAAATCTTTTCAGTAATTATGGATTTTCTGAGCCATCTCAAGTGTTAGTTTTTATTGAGTGCTTCTGTGTGGTAGGTGATGTGGCAGATTTATTGGGATTATAAACATGAGCATGGCCCTTCTAGCATTACTAGCACTCTTAATGGAGTGGAGGTAGGGCAATACAATGGAAAGAGCAGGGGCTTTATCCCGAAGCAAATAATCCTCATGGTATGAACTTGGCACAATACTTACCCTCCATGGGCCTCAGTTTTTCCATGTGTAACAGTGGGCCTGTGAAGATCATGATGATGTTCATAAAAACTTCAGCAGACTTCCAGATCAGTTAGGTGTTCAGTAAGGGGTAAATTATTATGGAAAGAGCCCTTCCTGGTAGCTCTTCTTTATCCATGATACTGTTCTCTTAGAAAATCAGTCAGAATCGCTCTCTTTTCTTATACAGTGCAGTGGTATACAAAGACAAAGAAGCGTCCTTGCTTTGATGGTTTGTTAGGTGTAGTAGGAATGGGACAGCCATTAAACGTTTATAGAAATCACTGAAATCTCATGGGTCCTCAGTTATAGAATGCATATGATTCACTGTTGTCTGATGATATGAGACCCCTGTCCTTCCTCACTTGTGTTCTTTCTGTGTCAGACTAATTTCTTTTGAAAATGGTAAAGAAGAATAATATTCCTCCTTAATACTTTTCAAGCTGTTAGTGTACATTAGTTTTGGAGGTTCCATTTTAGCTGTGACTGTGGATATTTTATAACATGGTGAGCATTGCCTAGGTGTGGTACCCCAGGAAACTAAGTACCAGACATGATTGTTTCATTTTGATGGGAATTACTAGTTTTATCAAGGGGATTTGAGACCAGTTTAGACTAAACTTTTAACAGCTGCATAGTATGCCAGCGTATGAATTTTTAGTAATTAACATCTTTCCTTCTGATGGATAGGATGATTGCTTTCAATTTTTTTCTGCTATAAATTATGGAACACTAAATATCCTTCAGTGACTATTTCAGCAAATGTTTTTAAGTGTGCTGCTTACAGGGCAAAATAGGGAATTATTTGATCAAAGGGAATATTGTATTTAAAATTTTGATAAATATTGCCAAGTTCTTTTATCTAGGAAGATTCTAATTTAGTAAGTCCAGGGTGGGATCAGACAAATCTGTATTTTTAACAGGTTCCCTTGGTAATTTTCATACAGCCAAATTTGAGAACTACCACAGGAACAGAAAAGTAGCAGGATTCTCTACGGCTAAGGAGTATGGTTATATCCTCTGGAAAAGACCAGGAAGTTATAGGTGTTTAGGAAAGAGTAAAAAACCTTTTTAGTGACTGAGCAGTAAGAGTAGGGTTCGCTAGCAATGGCCAGTATTTAGAGAAGCAACTGTACTAGTATTTATCTGGAATATTTTATCTTTCTTTATCTTTTCCTCCTTTCGTCCTTCTTCCTTCCCCTTTTTCTTTCTTACATGTAGGGCACTTGTTTATAGAAAGGCAATAAATACATTTTGTGCCCATCCTCACAATGTGTCCAGGTTCCTATTGAGTGTGTTATAAAGAGGAGCCACTCTTCAGGCCCCTGCTCTGAGCTTGCCCTAATCTGGAATTTTATGTAACTTTGACATGCAATGTAGAAAAAGAGTGCAAAAATTATGAAGGTCTGAGTTTGAACACTTTCTACTTACTGTGTAATCTTAGACAAATTGACACTTGAATCTTTCTTTATACAGTGATAATATCTGTCTTCTAGGTTTGTTGTAGTGATCAAAGGAGTGTTATAACCTCCATTGAATATCTCTTCTGTCTTTTGGTATTGTGGCTATCTCTGTTATGGAAGTTTGTCATTTAGTCATTTAGTTGTGATTGGCAGTTCTACCTAGTCAATTCCACATTAGACTGAAGCAGTTGCTTATCTTGGGGTTTGTATTCCCAGCCCCTAGCCCAGGCCTGGGTATGGTGCAATGTTCTTTTTTTTTTCTTTTCTCTTCCTTTCCTTTTCCTTTTTGAGACAGGGTCTCACTGTGTAACCCAGTTGGCCTTGATCTCATGATCCTCCTGCTTCAGCCTCCTGAATGCTATCATTATAGGTTTGTACAACCATACCTGGCCAGCCCTTCCTCCCTCCCTGCCTTTCTTCCTCCCTTCCTCCCTCCCTCCCTATATTTGTCCCTCTCTCCCTTCCTCCATGCCTACCTCCCAGTCTTACTATGTTCTTCAACTCACTGTGTAGTCCATACTGGTTTCAAACTCACAATCCTTCAGCCTCAGCCTCCCAAGAGCTGGGATTATAGTGTGAACCACTACACCTGGCTACTCTTCTGTTTCTTAAATGAGTGATGAATGCTTAGCACTGTGCAAGTAGATTTTCTATTTTAATTTTCTCAGTTATCCTAAGAGATAAATATTTTTTTCTTGTATTTTACCATGAGGAAATGCTCAGGGAGTGTAAGTAACTTGCTTAAGATAAAATACTATGGCAGAATCAAAATTAAAGACTCTATGTGTGATTTCAAACTAGACAACCTATGCTTCTTCATCAATCTACTTTGTTGAGATGATATAAGGTACTTTGGGAATTGTGAAATGTTGAAGAATAAAATAATTTTTATTATCTTAGTAATATGATTTAACAGATTAGTGTGGTGACACAAACAGTTTTTCTGCTTCTACCTAATATCCACTTTCAGTTTAGCTTTGTTACAGTCAGTCTGCATTTTCAGTAAGAATACAAGTGGTCGGTCACTTCCTCTTGTGAGGGATTCTTTCCATATTTTCTTTGTTTAAAAGTTTGTCTTTGCCTTTTTTTCAGTGAACTTTTTTTCTTTGTTTTTAGTGGACTTTTTGATATTTCTAAGCACATGGGTTGAGGATGGCTTATAGATTACTATAAGGATTATAGTAATTATTACAGAAGGATTTTGGTAACATTGGAAATCTTAGTAACCAGTACAAATAATTCATGTCTTCCTTTCTGGTCCTTGTCTTCATTTCTCTCTTTCATTAGCAGCCCTGTGTGGACCTCTTTAGGACATAGGTCATTACCTGTTGGCTCTGGCTATCAGATTTCTGTATTTTATAGGACATGATCACATTGCTGATTAAGGGTCTGGAAATAGTGGGAAAATATACCACTTCATAACTTTTAAATTTATGTTGTGTTCAACGAGGCTCTTTCATTTGAGAATTAGGTTATTAGGTTGTTTTAAATATTTAATCATAAGTAGAGTTTGGAAGAAAAAGAAAATGTTGTTACTCTCTCTGCTCTTGTGTCATTATAAAGTTCATTGAGTTGCAGAACAGGAGTAGCATACACCAAGAAGTGTGGCAATAGAAGAAACATGTGGCTTTTACTCATTGTGGTCATATTGAATGAGGAAAATTTCCAACAATTCTAGAAATTTTTCTAAACCATAGAGTTATATTTGCCCAGTATTTTACACAAATCAGCTTATTTTTAAATTTAAGTAGCTTTATTTATTTGTAAAACCACTTTGAGTTGGTTTCCTTCTTATCCCATATACGTGGTATGGTTGGGGGTGGGAGGCAAAGGCAGAATACATCATGGATTCATGTGGGTGGTTGATGTGTGTAAGTTTAATCTTTGTCTTAGTGCCTGTAACCCTGCCTCCGGTGTTCATGTCTATTTAAGTAGGTCTTTAAACTTGTGGAATTGTGTTGGAAAGTGAATGTCTGATTTCTGTCTTGATCTTTCCGAAGCCTGGTTTGAAATGCAGCGTTCTTGGTCTATCCAAAGTAATTTTTTTTTTTGTGGTGGGGGGCAGTACTGGCATTTTGAACTCAGGGCCCCTGCCACTTGAGCCCTGCCCCCAGGCCTTCAAGCCAGGTTTGGACCCTGGGAATACAGGGAATACAGTTGGAGTCTTAAGTGCCTTATTATTGTCAGATGGGGTTTTATTTTCTTTAGGGCTTTCAGAGATGAACTTTGGAGAGAAACTGTAAAAAGAATGATTTATGTGTAGCAGGGACAGAGGTTGCAGAGCATAAGAACTGCAATAACCTTTCCCTGTTAGCAGTTGTTGAATGATAATGGAATGCCATCTATTTTTGATGTGATTTTTAATGTTCTTATTTAGAAATTGATACTCTTATTAACTATTTTGTAAAATGTGTCAAGGTATATATTTACACTGGGAACAAAATCCTAGCTAAAATATTACATAATTATAATTCAAAAGTTACATATAACAATTTTTTTTTTAGGCATATGGATCAGGCTGTGATATTGTTATTTTGGCCAGTGACTTTGAATGTGTGCAGATCATTCCTGGTGCTAAGCATGGAAACATCCAAGTCAGCTGTGTGGAGTGTTCTAACCAACAAGGAAGAGTAAGAGATTTAATTGATTTGTTAAATGTCATTTTTAATATGTTTAATAATCTCAGAATATTCTCATCCTTTTTCGCAGTACTTCTCTACAGTTTTTTAATATATAAAGTGCAATTAAGCTGATATTGTGATAACTAATAGATATACACTGTGTTGAAATATCTTTAGGCCTCACAGTCTTCTGCATGTAGGTATTCTGCTAGTTGGTCATTTTAGCAGCTTTTAAACCAGTAGAGAGGAAGTAAACTTATCTTCCTATCTAGCACTCCGTATGTCTCCCAACTATAATGAAATCAAATTTTTTTGTTCCTTTTTTTTTTTTTTTGTGTGTGTTACTGGGGCTTGAACTCAGAGCCACTCCACCAGCCCTTTCTTGTAAAGGGTTTTTTCAAGATAGGGTCTTGTGGAACTATTTGCCCGGGCTGGCGTCAAACCATGATCCTCCTGATCTCTGTCTCCTGAGTAGCTAGGATTACAGGCGTGAGCCACCAGCACCTGGCTTTGTTCGTTTTTTTTTTTTTTGAGACAAGGTCTCACTGTGTTGCCCAGACTGGCCTCAACCTCCTGGCTCAAGTGAATCTCCTGTCTCAGCCTCCCAAGTGCTGGGACTACAGGTATGTGGTACTGCACCTGGCAATAACATCAAATTGTTATCAGGAAGTTTAGTGATTACTAGTGTCTGATATAATACTTGTCATATAGTAGGTGCTTTGTAAAGTCTGATAATTTAATGAAAGTTTATTTTTTGAGTGAAAATTTTATGATTCATTCATTCAGACTTTAAAACAGAATTTATTTGGAAATAGTTGGAATTTCATCCTAACTACCTTTTCTTCAAAATTTCAAACATAATACAGCAATATAGTAAATATATATATTTGCTATATACTCTAGCAATTCTGTAAGGCCAAACTTAGGTAGCAGACTTGTTTGTCTCTACAGTAATATAAAAAATGAAATTCTTATCTGTAATTATTGTAATCTTAGCATTTTAGAAATTGTTCTTTACTGGATAACAAATTTTATCAAGGATATGTTAAATCACGATATTCATGATAATAAATAGTAATCAAGCAAATTATTGCTGAATAATAAATTATGATAGCTTCATTGTGCCTTTTCTCCTGCCTGATCCTACTGTGTGTATCAAACTTTAATAGTTATTTAACTATACAAGTACTTGACAATCCAGTAATATTCTCCACCTAATATTTAAACACTAAGTTTTCTGATGTTTCCTTATGGTGTTTCTTGCTGTTTTGATTTTCTTTTCAGGTTTTATCTCCCCCAGATCCCCAAGCATTGCTTACACTTACTTTAGAAAACACTGAGCATGTCAGATTTCTTTCACTAATTTTTCATTACTTCTCTCTCTGGGCCAAGCAAGGTAGCTTTAAGCCTGCCCAGAGTTGTATGCTAGCTGTCAGAGGTCAATTGTAACATGTTGGTATTCGTGCCCATGGGAAACAGAGCAACCTGTGTTTATACTTTTCCTTACCTATTTAAGGCAAAGAAGGCAGAATTGGAACATCTTTACTGCCATGTTCTTTTCCTTCAGTCCCTTTATCCCCAATTTGTGGTGATAAATTTTACATTTGTGGCTGTGTTAGTTAGCAAGGCATTAGAAGTAGCTTCCCCCTATGTTGTGGATTAAAAGCTTTTCCTTGGGAAGAATGTTAGATATTAGGTAATTAAAATCACTTTTTGGCATGGTGATGGTAGGCATTTTGGCTGGCTTAAGAGAATATATACCTAATTTAGTTTTCTAGATTAATTGAGATGCAGAAGCATCAGAAGAGATGGCTTTTGGTCTGTTCCCTGTAGTTGAGTCTTACCTTGTCAAGAGGAGGATGAACTGAGAACTGACCTTCAAGGAATTATTGGAAAACAGGCTCTGTTAGCTTCTAGGAACAGAGGGATTTATGTCCCTTACCAGGTATTCAAACGACCTGGAGCAAAATCCTCCTTAATCCCAAACCTCTGGAAGGAACTGTACCAGCTCAGCTCAAAGAATGGCGTAGTGATTTCTCCTCAGCTCTTTTATTTTTTTCTACTATTTTCTATTCCTTTTCTGTTTGATGATGTAATTAATGTCATTTTATTTGATATATTCCTAAGACTATATCAAGATCTGGTATCTTTTTCTACTTATCATTTTTGTATTATTTTCACTGAGTTGTTTCTGATAAAAAGATGTGCCATTGGAATGTATTTTTGTGAATAAAGTTATTTCTATATTAAAAAAATCTCTCTCTTTTTTGAGACAGGGCCTCTGGCTTTGAACTCAAGATTCTCTTGCTTTAGCTTCCCCAGTGTTTATTAGGATTATAGGTGTGTACCACCATACCCAGCTAAAAATAAATTCTTACAGACAGCATAATTTCTTTGAATAGGTCAACTTTGTATTTCTAAAGCCTACCAAATTTTTTGATAACAAAGAAGGGATTCTTAAATCTGTTGCACTTGCAGGTTTATTTATGAAATGAAACAAAGAATGAAGTTACATTGGGATTGTATTATTTGTTTTTTGTTTATATATTACTGTGAAAAGAAGACTATCTTTTTTGTACTCGTTCCTAAATATCAATGCTGTGTTTATTCTTTTTTAGGTTGCAGCTTCATATGGTAATGCTGTTTGTATTTTTGAGCCTCTGGGCATAAATTCTCATAAGAGAAATAGTGTAAGTATTAATTGATTATAGAATACTTTTTAGCCATTTTTTTTAATTTTAATTTTTTAAGTTTTGTTATGTTTTTGGTTGATTCTAGTTAACTTTAGAATGTAGTTGATAGCATAAAGAGCTCCTGAGGAACTGGTGTTGGAAGTAGAATATCTTAATGTTGGAATGGCCTTTTAGAAACCCAGGTTTCTAGAAGATTGCCACCTGCCATTCCTGTGGCAATTGAGATCTACCCTGATCTGAACTACTCTTGTCTGTATCTGATACCTAGTTCTCTGTGTAATCCCTCCTTCCACCTTTATTCTCAACAGAGCAGGTCATGACACTTCTTTTCATAAAACTCTGTAATGGCTCCATATTTCTCTAAGATTAAAAGCCAAAAAGTTTTAAAATAACTATAACCTCCCTTTCCCCAGTACTACACTAGTTACCCCTCAGAGCTCATCTCCTGTCACTGTCCTTTCTGATTCCACTCTAGCCACACTGGCATTTCCACTGTTAGCTTTGGAATTTCTTCCTATGTATAGCTTCAGGGCTACATTCTTTAGGTGTTTGCTCAATAATACCTTCTCAATGAGTTCTATCTTGACTACTCTTTTAAAAATTGCAGTTTTTAAGCTGGGGGTGTGGCTCACGTGGTAGAGCACCTGCCTAGTTAGCACTCTGCCCCCCCCAAAAAAAAACAAAAACAAAACTTCTACCACTGTTACCTTTCTAAATTTTTCCGTAGCATTTATCTTTTTTATTTATTGTTTAATGTTTAGAAGTCAGGAACTTGATTCTTTTGCTCACTGATGCATCCCAAGTACTTAGAATAGTATCTGGAACATAGAAGGAACTCCTAAATATGAGTTTAATGGAGTTAGGGACCTTTAGATAAGTTCGCTTATCAGCTGAATGGTTGAATATACCACCTTGAGAACCACTACCATTTATAAACTGCATGCTGTATTTTATTTTATCTTATTTAATGTTCAGAAAATTCTATATGGTTAGAATTATCAACCCCGGTAAAAATTACTACATGCATTAGCCAGGCATTGGTGGCTCATGCCTGTAATCCTAGCTACTCAGGAGGCAGAGATCAGGAGGATCGTGGTTCAAGGCCATCTTGGGCAAATAGTTTACAGGATCCTATCTTGAAAATACCCAACACAAAAAAGTGCTGGTGGAGTGATTCAAGTGGTAGAGCACCTGCCTATCAAGCATGAGACTCTGAGATAAAACCTAAGTACCACCAAAAAAAAAAAAAATTACTACATGCATTAGAACACTGTCCTCACTCAAAATAATCAATACTGCAAATATTAAATCTGAATGCCAAGTATATAAGTGATTTTTAAAAATGTGTTTTTATATTTATTTATATTTTGAGACAGGATCTCGCCCAGTTTACAGCCTTGATCCTGGGCTTAAGCTGTTCACCTTCCTCCCAAGTTGCTGGAACTACAGGTGGTGCAAACCATTGCGCTTGTCTCTGAAAAGTGTTTTTCTAAGCCAGTTTTGGCATTTTAAATTAAATATGCGTATTAGAATATTTCTTTTTACATTTCTAAAAACAGTATAAAGTAGGATACTAGTCTTTCTCTGTACTGGTATTATAAAATAGATGTCAAATTTTGGAGTGCTTAAGAGTCACCAAGGAGACTGGGGGTATAGCTCAGTGGTAAGGCTCTGCTGTACAAGGCCCTGGGGATGACCCCTAGCACTGCAAAAAATAATAGAATAGGATAGAATAGAATATGTACTAAAAATTCAGATTCCCACCCCCCCAGATTTCTGCACTGTAGTTGCTCTGTTGATTATGTTCTGAGGAATACTAAAGGAAAGAATATTAGGGATGGTCTATGGTTTTAGGAATGATTTAATACTATAAGATAGATTTGTTGAGTAATAGTTAAAGTACTGTTATGACTGATGTTTGGTCAGCAAAGGTAAGATCTGAGAAATAGCATTTCCCTGATTATGAAATATAAAATTAGTTTTGGATAATGAAATGCAGGCTCTATAGGTATATTTAAAAATTCCATATTCAGCTAGTAAGAAACCTTGTTTAAGTTATTTATTAAGTATTTTAAAATATCATAAACAGAAAAGATGCCATTTAAAAATTATTTGCCAGGCAGTTAATATATAACTTTCCTAAGAACAGAGTTTCACATTGCACTGTGTTTTTTCTTTATACACCACAAAGAAGTATGTACATTTTTATTGCTTAGAATACAATATTTCATGTCAAAGGCTTTTGACTTTTAAACTTTAAATCACCTTTTAGAATGAAAACATTAAGAAAAATGGATGGAAAAATTTCAAATATATAGATCAAGTTTGTGAATTATGTGTTACATAATTCAAATCTGTTGACTTCTTGGGAAGTGGATCTAGTTTTTCTTTCAGACATTGTGTCCTTAGGACTATGATAATTTGCATTTTTTTTTTTTTTTGTGCAGTACTGGGGTTTGAACTCAGTGCCTACACCTTAAGCCACTTTACCAGCTCTTTTTCTGTGATTGATTTTTTTGAGATAGGGCCTTGCAAACTATTTGCTCGGCCTGACTTTGAACCTTGATCCTCCTGAGTAGTTAGTATTATAGACATGAGTCACTGGCGCCTGGCTTTTTTTTTGTGGAAAGACTAGGGTTTGAACTTAGGGCCTTAGGCTTGCTAGGCAGGTGCTCTACCACTTGAGCTACTTTGCCAGCCTTGCATTTCTTTTTAATGTGCATTTTGAATGAACATTTTTAAGCATCTTTGCAGCAGGCCTTGATAGCACTGAAGATATAAAAATTATTATGACATCATTCTTGTCCTTAAAGAGCTGCAATGTAATAGGAGTCTCCGACAAATAAACCAAGAATAATTCTGTGTAACTCTTGGTGGGAATGTAAACTAGTACAACCACTCTGGAAAAAAATTTGGAGGCTACTTAAAAAGCTAAACATTGATCTACCATATGATCCAGCAATACC